GGTTACATCCACTTGTTGCCTTTCAAAAAATTGGGCCATATTGCATGTTAGGTCTCTTTGGGCAAAAACAAACAATCAAATGATCATAGTCCCTCGATGACGTTTTCAAAATATTGCCTAAACAAATGATCAAGTCCCTTAAAGAAAATTGCCCAAAAATACTTAGCACTATTGCAATTATGGTCTAAACGACGACCCGCGCCCGTCCCTTTCACATCCTAACACAAGATTGTCCACCAAATACAATGGTGGAACAAAATTGTTAAAAGAGTTAAAACATAACAAAAATCTTTGAGAACTTTAGGGTAGATCGCTCTTAAGTACTTGTCAACTTGCAAAACAAAAACACTTGCCTGTTTTTAAACCACACCTCACAACACTTTCAAAACAACTTTAAAAAAAAAACAAATGAAAACCTTTTCAAAAGACATACACCTTTGTATACATCCCCACATGGATCATTACAAAGGTTGCCACCACATTGGCCTCTTTTCAAAACATTTTCAAACCCACACACACAAGCACCATTTCAAACAATTAAAAATAAAAGGCAAGTGATCTAAGCAAGTAACTAAGAGCCCGTGGATAACCATGGATAGAAAGGGTGCTAATACCTTCCCTTTCTATAATCTACTCCCCGAACTCAAGAAAACATCTCAAAGGTTTTTGCTGTGCTTTTTAACCTTTCCTTAGGATAAAATAAAAAGTCGCTGGCGACTCTTGCTCAACCGAAACATTTGCGAATACAAACGCAAAAACATAGTCAGTTCTCCCACCGTATCACAGTGTGGATTGAGGAAGGGTTGTGTTTCATGGACAGTGATTTTCAAATTCTAGAGCAGATGATAAATACGAAATTGGTTGATATGGTAAACAAGGATGGAGGGTGGAAATGGTTATCAATTGGTTGACTGAGAAGTGGTTGCTAACCACTCTTATCATGAACCTAATTAATTAGTGGATACTCTAGCTAAATATAGTTACTCTTTGAGGGAGATGTTTTGTTTGTTTGAGGATTGTCCGAATGAGTTTAAACACTTGTTGGTTGCTGATGAGAAGAAGTTTGTTACCCCTAGGATTGTCTTCATGTATTTTTATTTTTTCTAAGTGTTAGCCCTCTTTGTAATAAAAATAAAAATAAAATGGTAGTTACTTTACAACTGGATCAATTGTTGTTAATATTTAGAATGATGAATGTAACACCCCGATTTTTTCATAATTAATAGTTTAAATGAGTTATTAGATATATTTATGAATTATTAATGAATATGTGATGTTTTATTGAGTATGTGATGTGATGCTATGTTGTAGGATAATCAGAATTTAGATGAGTAAGGAATATTTTAGAAATTTAGATAATTAGTTAATAATTATTTAAAATTAGTTAAGACTATTATGAATAGTAAAATAAATGAATAATTGGTGTAGAGAAGATAAGGGCAAAGTGGTAATTGATGAAAGGTTAAGTGGGGACAAATTAGGTAAAATATATTAGGGGTCCTAAGATTAAACAAGGAATAGAAGGAAAAGAATGTCATTTGGTACGACTATGAAAACATTGGAAGAGTAGAGAAAAAGTTAGGGCACGAAGAACATAGAGGAATTCGGTAGATTGCAAAGAGAAAAAATCAAGCTGGGAATCTAAGGTAAGGGGGTGATCTATCATTATAATTGATATGGATTTTAGAGGTATGTAGAAATTTGTTGGGGTTTAAGATGATTTTGATGATATGTTGCATTGTGATAAACTTGTGTTGAAATTGATAAAAAATACCATGTTGATTTGCTATAAATTTGTGTATATAATGCCTATAAATTCGTGTGGTTGTTGAATGATGATTGTATATTGAAAACTATGAAAATCTGAACTGTCTTGGTATAAACTCGTAAGAAGATTTGAAGATGAACAATTGCAGAATCACAATAGAGAGTTGTTGTCTGCTACGTGTTGTCGGGCGAAGGTATGCGTTGTCGAGCGAGGAATTGTCGCTTGGTCGTTGTTGGGCGAGTAAAGGGGCGAAGGAATGGGTGGAAAAGTGGTGCTCCTGGATTTTTATATGGAGAGGGTTGTCTCGCTTGTGCGTCACCAGGCGATGCTGAAGCGAAGGGGGCGTCGACGGGCGAGCAAGGTTCTTCGTCGGGAAATGGAGACAAGAAAAATATAGATGGTGTTGTCACTTCCATGCCGCTGGGAGAGCCTCAGACGAGCAGATCGCGTCGCAAGATGAGCACCGGGCGATGGACAACAATAAGATTTTTTATTTAAAAGTGCCATAACTTGAGTTTTAGAATTCTGTTTGAGGCGTCGTTTGAAGCGTTGGATAACTAACACGATGAAATACATGTGGATAGAATAAAATGAGTAAGAAGATGCATATTTCCAATACCTAGGCTAAGATATACTTAGATCCTTAAGAAGTTGGCTACAACGATGCATGTTGCTATGATAAATTGTGTTTGATAATATGGTAATCAATTGTGACTTTGAAGTGCTGAATGATGTTGATGCTAATATGTGATGTATATTTATGCCATGTGAATACTATTGATGAATTAGTGAACGGTGATGCCCTTGACTAGATGTAGTCGTAAATAATTATGTTGATTGTGCAACATGCATTCATAATATTATCAGGACAAAAGTCTAGTGTTGATTTAGGACGTAAGTCCAGTGTTGTTGAGGATATTAGTCCAATGTTGGCCTTAATCCCATTGTATGGATCAAGTGCGTTTAATGTTATGCTCCGGTTCCAAGAGGGAATCGATCCTATGGTGGAGATCTTTGGAGGGTGATGAGTCTAGTATTCATAATGAATTGGTACCACGTGCATGAGTCTATGTTATTGCACTATATTTTATGTGGCATTGCATAATTATTGCTTAGATGATGTTGTATACGATGTTATGCTAATTGACTGATTGTGATGATGATTGTTTATTTTGATGCCGTGATATTGATGTTGAACTACTATGTATATTCCGTATATCTTTTGTAATGAATATGATTACTCACCCTTTCTGTTTGAATGTTGCCTCCACGTGGATAACATGCAGGTGACATGTGTAGTTCATAGGAGCTTAGAAGATAGCTCAGAGTGTGTTGTTTTCTTTCTGTAGATTTTTAGAAGGTCTTGCTCTAATATGTAACATCGGGGTCGAGAATGTTTGATTTTAAACTTGATATTATTTTGTCTTATTGTGAGATTTTGATCTACCTTTCATGGTATATAAGTTGTTTTAAATTAGGAACCATAAACAACGAAGTTTCTATGATGTGTTTAATAAAGATATTTTGAATAATAAATTCCGCTGCGAGTAGTTGAAGCATTATGGTTGTTATTTAATGAGGTATTTGTTATAAATTTTGAAAACCCGTGTTACGGAGTAAGACATGCATGTATGATATATTATGAAGCATGTGACGCCCTTTTAGTGAAATACCCTGATTATTTATTTCTATTATTCGTGGGATTTTAGAAGGGTGTTACAATGAATACTTAACTTAATAATTCAGAATAAACATTTACTTATTTACTTATTTCAAATAACACACGAATAAATATTTACTTATTTAAAATAAGCTTAATTATAGTCTTGCTCCTCCTGTTTTACTTGATTCAAGAAATTGATCCACTATTTTAAATTTAAACACTTTTGATTCCTCTACTTTAAACTTAAACAGTTTTGGTCCTCCTCTCATACTTTTGTACTTAAAACTAACTATGTTTTTATTTTTTAAATGACAAGTTACTAGTAAAATATTACAAATCGTCGTATATAAACTATTATTGAACTTTATAGATAAAAATGTAAGTTAAGAGGTTCCGAGTTTAATATTATGGCAAATCATGAAAATTAACTATCAATAATGTACATTAACCTAGTGATAAAGATACAATATGTGGGTTAAAGATTTTGAGTTCAATTCTTTCTAGGAACAAATTTTGATTTATTTTTATATTTTTAAATCTAAATTATTTAAAAATAAGGAACAAATTTTGGCTTTTCTTGATATTTTTAAATCAGAATTATTTAAAATAAAATTGAAATTAAAAATAAAAATCAATTTAATATTTAAAAAATGAAAAATAAAAAATAAAATCCAACGTGACAGTCCAATCACGGTTTAAAACACGAAAAAAATTAAATTAGATCAGGTCTTTTTTTTTGTTGAGGATTAATTTGAGTTTTGTAATTTTTGTGAGTTCACTCATTTTTATAATATTTAGGCTCTGTTTGATAAAAATAGCGGTTGACTAATAAGCTAATTGATAGCTTATAGTTTATGATTGATGGCTGATGACTTATAGCTGATAAGCTAATTGAATTATTTGATAAAATTAGCGATTCAATTAAGTGATAAATTAAAATTATATAAAAGACATTTAATATATATTATTTTATTTTAAATTAAAATAAATTATAAATGATATTAGTGAATTTTAAATAAAATAATAAGGATAAAAATGGAAGAAAAAATGATAAGCTATAAGTTAGTAAAATAAACTATAAGCTCGTGATGAAAAGACTGTTATCTGTTTTTTTTTACGTCTAAACAACTTCATTAGGCCTAAGGTAAAAAGTAGAAGTTAAACATTGTCACAAGAGGGACAGAAGCCAAATCAAGTATTGGATCCTATGATTTTGGCTAAACATGTTAACCGGTGAGCATCCACATTAAGATTCTGGCTAAAAAACATAACAGTTGCAAAATTAAAACTAACTCCGCCATAGTTGAGTCAACACTTGTCCTCACCTTCTTGCAGGCAACTACTAGAATCTTATTATCATGGTCTTTTGCTATGCAGCCAAAAGTGATTCCCCGTGTATCGGTGCAACCTGCCTCCACCTGCACAATACAAACATCTTTCGAGACATTCTCCATAAAAGGATTTTTCCGCGAGACCTCCTCCCTACTGTGCGCTTGGTTCACCTTTAATACCTCCCCCACATACTGCCAGACTTCAACCGTAATGTATTTCGGCTTCACCCTTTTTGACATGTACAAAACATTGTTCTTGACTGTCCAGATTTTCCACAAGGTAGTAATAATGATTCTTGCATTATCTTTATTGTTTGAACTCAGAACACTCAACAACCACTCAAAAATCTCCATACCTGAAGGAATACGAAAACCTAAGGTGAAGAGAAACAACAAGCTTTAGTGAATTCACAATGAATAAAGAGATGGACACTTGATTAAGGAGCCGAATTGCACAACGGACACGTAGGATCAAGGATGACACCTTTTGCTTGAAGATTAGTTTTTGTGGGTGAGATGTTTTTTGCCAGACGCCAAAGGAAGTTAAAGACTTTAGGAACAACATTGAAGTGCTTGATAACTTTCCATATTTTTTGATTCGGTGGAGCCGAAGGTCCAAATTTCTTGGAAGCCTCGAGTTGATGAAGCATGGGGTAAGCATACCTTATAGAATACTCACCATCCTTCTCAAAATTTCATATTTACTCGTCTTCTGAAAGTCGTCTTAAAAGGGAATATTAAGAACATGATTTGCCTCAGATGGGTTGAGACGAATCTGAATCAGCCCACTGTTCCAAGTCTCCAGATCATTGTCTATGAAATTACAAACTCTTCCTTTTATATTGGTAGATACATCAATTTTGAAGAATTTGAACCCCAGAATGTCAAATAGCTTATAAACATATCTTTTATTAGTCATATGAGTTTGTTTATAAACTCAAAAAATATCTTATCAAATAAGACCTTATTAAAAACCTTATTAAAAATAATTATACTTCTAAAAATAGATAGAATTACATTTTTCAATTGTACTTCCACAAAAACGTTAAAAACAAAAATAATAGAAAATTATCGATTTGATTATCAAACACATAAGGATCATTGGAATAAATAGAACATATTTACAACTTATACCACAAATGTTTATGAAATAAACATTTATAAATAAGTTACGTAAGTCATTTTTATATTAAAAATAAAATAAATTTAAATGATTTTAAAAATAAAATAAATTTAAATAAATTTTTATATGGGTTATAAATTATTCTCATAAACAATCTTTAAAAACTTATAAATTTTTATAAGTTAAAAAATATTTAATAAAGTCGAATAAGCCTATCCAAACATCCCATGATTATTCCCCACAAGGGTAGAGAGGGAGGAGAGTTACAGAGTTGAAACCGCCCAATGTTGTCCTAATTCTTAAACCCCATTTCTTGTTGATTTGCAATTTAAATTCTCCAGAGTGATTCGTGTTAATATAAAAGTGAGTTGAACAACAAGCTTCAGAGTAAAAATCACGTTTAAACTCAAAAACTACTAATAGTAAGTTCAAGTAGAATCAATTCTGGAGAGAAAATGAATTCTACTATAGAATAACCAAACACCTCAAAATCATTCCAAAATTAATTCTACGCATCTAGAATTGCTTTGGCTTCTTCCAAAAGCTAAACCAAACATACATGTATTTTGAGTTGCTGACAATTGAGCTTGTTCCACTTTTGAAGTTTTACTTTTCAGTTATTTGACATGATAACATTTTGACTACAAGTGATGTTCTTTAATTATGTCTTCCAACATATACATCCAACATTAAGATTGCATGTTGGATTCTAAGATAGATTATGAATCCGAAGGTTGGAAGACTGAGGGAGTATTAAGAATGAGGCCCGTGATTCAATCTGTTTTGCTAACAAATTCTCTCTCCTCTAACAAACTAACTAGTTATGACTAGTATTTGCCTTTAAAAAGATAGTGCCTCATTTTTTGGGTCAGGCCTGTTTGGAACTTACACTGGTGTTAATATTTTTGGAGAAATTTTAAGCAGTTTAAGTATTGGAAAATGAATGAGAAACTCAATCTGATACACCTCCCTCCCCATTTACTGTATTTGATCTTCCTCTTACTGTATCTATGCATGTGTGGTTTTCAGGATGCAGAAGTTCCATGGCATTTAATTGCAATTGCGATTTTCTTCACATTGATCAAATTGCCAGGTCCATATTACCCTTATTGGGGACGTATACTAATTCCTCAGTTTGCAAACGGGGTTTTATTGAGGGCTCTATGGTTTGCAATATTGTGGTATAGAAGACCTAAAGTATTGAAGATGTCAGAGTCCGATAGTTAGTTAACTCCCTGAGCTATGGTACAAGGTTGCAAAGTCCATTTCAGTGGTAAATTTCATAAATTCTTTCTAAATTCTACTACTTATATCCTTGGTAGTTTGCACAGAGGCTATAATTTGTTTCCTCGTTTATGATTAAATGTTATGCAACCAATTCATTAAATGTTGTTCCCCCTGCCTAATTGAAAATATATTTCATAGTCTAGTACATGAATGAGTGAACAGTACCCTACCATCCCAGTCATTTAATCACTTGATCCAATACAAATTGGGCTATGTTTTAACTGAATGAAGTTGGCATACTTCGAGAGACGGTCTACAACCACCACTAATGCATTACAGTCCTTAGACTTGGGCAATTCATTAAGAAAAACTAAAGATACAGCTTCAGCAAGTAGTAAGGATAAGATGTCACATGCTTTTCTTGCGCTGGCACATATCACGGGATTTACAGATGAAATAAAAGAATAATAATAATAATAGTTCTAGCAAGTAATACACCAAGTCACCAGTATAATGACGTTCTCTCTTAATTCTGCAAATATTAGTATGTTTGTGATGAAGACACCAATGTATTTTAGTTCTATTGTATTAATTATGGTGCTTAACCATAGGTTTGCTTGTAATAAACTTTCTTAAAATGTTATTGATAAATGACACTGACATCTAATTCCTTTATTGATAACAGGAAACGAAAATTCTCACTAATGAAGATCTTGGAAAATCAAACAGTACTTTGAGAATTTCATTGAAATTAGTATTCACTTTGTTGAGAAAAGATGTAGACTGCTATGCTTAGCCTTTTGTCATGAGAATGGCTGATAAGATTTTGTTGAATGATCCAGATAATCAGGTGGGTTAGCATTAAATTGGTTTCAATGGGGATTCATGCTTTTTGTATAAGATTTTTGTCATACTTGTCAAACTTGTGGAGAAAGGGTAAATGTTTTTGTTATTTTTCTCTTCCTTTATGAGTAATATAACAATTGACATGTTCAGATTGGAGCATGTACACAATTTTGAACCAATATGAACAAATTGGGGAAGTTTGTTCAAACTGTATAAGATCATTATGCGCTTAGATTATTGATGCTTCTAAGAGTCAAATTGGTTTGTTTTGTACTAGAAGAATAGATAATTGTAATTGGAATGAAAAACTATTTTAAACTTTTGTAGTTGAAAATTAATTTTAAATATTTCTTCTAGAGTTTTCTCATTTTGTAAGTTTCATGAAATCTAGCATTACATTTCTGGATATAGAGATGTTTGAAGACTTTTCAACATTTTATAATATTGTCGATCGATCGATCATACCAGTGTTGCATATATTTTGATTGGACTCTTTGTTTTGTAACAGTGAAATACACACCACTTCAATTTGGATTTGGAAATCCGGGCGCATACACACCACTTCAATTTGGATTTGGAAATCCTGGCGCAACATTTATTTTTCAGCTCAAAAAGAAATGATCTAAAGCAATGTATATTACTTGAAACTACATATTCTATTACTCCCTTTGATACCAAAATACAATATCAAAATACAAATGTATATTACTTGAAACTACATATTCTATTACTCCCTTTGATACCAAAATACAATATCAAAATACAAAAGAATGTTGTTTTGAAATAAAGATGTTGAGTAATGGAGGCATATTTTTGTAGGGTTTTTGAAAATAAGGTGTTTTGATCATGTGTAACATGAAGATAGGTATATATGCAACATGACAATCAAATTCATTTTCCCGCTTGCAAATTCAGATATTAGAATCTGGAATATATCCGGAGAATTAATTATGGACCTTTTCTTTTGACAAAAATAGGGAGCCTCAGTCATGAAGTGATTTTGTTGAAGAACAAGTAATGTCTGGAGATTGAAATCCAGAGTATAGGAAAAACATATTAGAGTTTCCATAGGATGTGTGATCGCTACATGGATGTAGTGATCAACACCCTTATAGTAAGCATGAAACCAAAGAAGGATCAATAAAGTACTTCAAAGGAAAAGAAAAGACAGCAACTTAATCATAATATAACAACTTGATACATCTATAATACAAACTTGTAATTCAAACAGACTCTCACAAGCTCAGAATATATACACAGCATAACAGAATCCTTCCTTGATGATGTGAAATCTTTTTCTTACAGGCATTTCAAAACTCACTGAACAACTCAGGATACAAACATTTAAATTGACCAGCCAGTTTCCATTGTTTGCTATACCAACTTACATTGCATAAACTATCTCACCACTGCTATCGATATCAAGGTCGGGATCAGTTTCCACATCCTCGTCCATTTCATCATCGATGTCCAAACTACCGGTAAGATACTGGTTGAGAGACTGATGAGTTCCAGCTGCAGGAATAGTAGCTTCACTAATTATCTGCATGATTTCTTCAACGGTCTGCATCGGTTGTTCAGGCTCTTGAAACTGGTCGTTCATTGTATTTCCAACTATAAGATCGGCCGGAAGGTTCTTCAAAAACCACACGTGGTTTCGAATCTCAGACATACTTATTCTCTGTGTTTCAAAACATTGTTAGTTTCCAATTGAATGATGATGCTATCATCTTACATGAAAAGGAAGTAAAAGAGGAGCACTGCGACATAAATTTCACCTGTGCAGGGTCTGCAACGAAGATCCTTGAGATCAAATGATGGCACTCGGGAGATATTTGAACATAATCAGGAATTGAGTATTGGACTTTCAAAATCCTCTGCAAGAAAAAACCAGAAGTTCAAAAACTGCAATTCCCTTTTATTGCTACATTGGTTTAAAATAAGTTGCAAAAGGTTACATGAATAGTCTTCCGGAAATTTTTAGGCTCCTCCGGATCCTCGAAAGGATATGCGCCCACTAACATGACATATAAGGTAACACCACAAGACCATACATCTGCAATCTGGACGATAGCGACAACATCAGTACAAAATATTCTTAAGCAAGAAAAACTATCGGAAACGAAAGCATAATCGTTTCTGCATTAACATCTAATATTTACAAATCTTCACGAGTGTATTTACCAGTGGTTGAAGTAACGAATCTCAACTAACTGAAACTTACAGCGAAACAACAAAAGTCTAATTAGGTACAAACATAAACAAAATACATATAAAAAAAAAGAGAAGAGAAGTTAATTGTGCAATGCAATTGGAAAATTTCAGAATATCACTAGCTAAATGGTTTTTTTTTCCAAGGATGAAAGTTACAAAATAAAATACCTTGCCATCATATTCCTTCTTAAGCAAAACTTCAGGAGCGATATATGCAGGTGTACCGACGGTAGATTTTGGTTGTGAATGTAGCACTGATGACTGCAGAAGACAGTCAAGATTACACAAATTAATTTGCTTGAGGTCGGAGAAAATTAAAATTTCGAAGAAATTTCAAACTAGTATGAGAAAAACTATACCTTTGAATACCCAAAATCACAAATCTTCAAATGAGGAGCCGGACTACCATCCAACAACGTGTTCTCCAACTTCAAGTCACGATGACATACTTGCTTTATTAAAAAATACAAATAGATATATTCGAGTTAGGCATTTTACTATATTGTTTGGGCGGAAAATGGACTATTGTAAAAGTAATGACTATGTGTGTCGAACTTATGTACCATTGCATGACAGTAGCTAACCCCTGATATAAGTTGTTGAAAGAAAAACCGTGCCTGCAGCACAACATAATCGTCACTAACTTTAACCACAGCAGCAGTACTGCATTCAAAATCCATGAATTGAAACGATAAGAACCTCATCCTCGCTGAACCGTCCTGCATTGCATATTCGCTCAAATAGCTCTCCTCCAGAAGCATATTCCATCACAATAGCTAAATGTGTAGGGGTAAGTATCACCTATATTTGACGAATATGAGTACAACGGATTAATATAGATAAATATACCAAGATTAGAAGAAATATGATAAAACACTAGATCCGACACCTATGAAAAAAATGTGTGTTCAGTGTCTGACACCAACACGACATGTGTTTTCTTTCCCTTTTCTATATGACGATTATTAGGGATTTAGATGAGGATGGTAACCTGGTTAAAAATAGGTCTTAGGTTGCAAAGATAAAACAAACATTAAGATTAAATAGTCACCAATATTACAACATAAGTAGATTTACATAGAACGCCATGACCTATTTAGTAGATGAATATAAGGACTATATCTAACCCCAACAATAAAATTTTAGCTACACTTACACATGGTTAGCGTAACACTTGGTTTTCTATAGAGCTTGAATTTGAAAACGATACCTATATTGTCACTTGAGAAACACTTCCCCCTTCAGACTTCCTTTCTTATTCTCCTATTGTAGAGCTGAGTGAACCTACTCCAACTATGTACTCCTCCAAAGTTTTTCCTAGCCAAAGTCTCTTGCAGATCAATGGCTTTAGCCACTAGGGCAGAAGAAGTGCCATGAATCTCCATTTCGTTTTGATGATTTGACCACTTACCAGCTTTGGCCTTCCAGAAGTCAACCTCTTCCATATATTGAATCAACTCTATTTGGAGTTATGTACCTTCTCCAAAAGTTCAATCTGCTCACAGGTAGTCGTTTCAAATTTGCTCTTCCAACACTCCTTTTTTTCATAAGATCATCAGGAACGAGCATCTCACCTCACCTAACAACGACCAAGGTCAACAAAGAAGCCCCGCTAAATAAATGGTATGTTGTCTCGATCATCAGCTTCATCTTCCTAATAAAGAAATTATTTTTACATTAACAACATCATGGTCTGAGAAGGACTTTATTACTTCTTGAGACGCCTAGGGGACCCGGGAGGAAAGAATGACAAGAAGCTTAGAAATGACAAAATTGAGAGCTTATAGAGAAATCCCGACAAAACAAGAATCATAAAAACATGCATACAACACAATTTCAAAATAAACATAAGAATAAAGGTAGCAGATCAATAAGATATAAACAAAAGACATCCATCAAAATAAAGTAAAGAGTTAAATATGTTTTTGGTCCCTATAAATTACCAAATTTTGTTTTTGGTCCTTATAAAAAATGGACACTGCACAACATGAATTCTAATCCCAAATGTTCATGGAAATCATCATGAGTAAAATAAACCAATCTGCCACAATCATTGCACAGGAAAGCATTGACATGATTTGGATTGAACTTTTTACTCAAGCTCAATTATTTTAGGAGATTATGGTTTTTGAATGGTTGCAAGAAATCTATTTTATAGTAGTTCTGCTTATTTGGTTAGCGGTTGTCGCACACTTTTCTGGCGCTCAATTGCGACAGTTATGATATGAAATAGAAATGTAGCGGTAAAGATTTGAGATTAAGTCATCAATTGACTTAACTCAATACAATGAAGTCGCCAGCGCACTTTATTTTTTTCAAAAGGAAATGGGAAAAAAGCGAACAAAACCCAAAAAGATCAGAGATCGAGGTACGGGGGTCGGTTATGCAAAGGGAATGTATTAACACCCTAAGCATCTACGGTACTCCGTAGGATCCACTTTGTTTGGTTTCTTTTTAAAAGGAGTGTTATGTAAAGTTTACTTGCTAAAGGAGAAGAATAAATGAGTATTTGCAAACAAAAGAAAATGAAATGTTTTTTTATTATTTTTGTTGCTCGCTTTGGGTCGTAAGACTTAATACCTACGTACTCCCTCGTGTAATGGGAAAGTCAGAGCACTGTAGTTCGGCTAGAAAATACTTGTCTGTTGATTGTTTTTAAACAAGGAGACAAGTCGTCATCGTTAGGAGAGAAATCTCGACTAACGCCCACAAGGTGTGAGAAAGATGGACCCTGCGTCAACAAGAGTGAGGGTTTGAGAACGCCTCTGGTACTCAAGTGGAAAAGTCGACACCTTTATAACCATAGGGATATGAGAATGTTGCTCGACTATCAATGAATCATGTCTCATCTTGAAAAAAGTTTGAAGGGTAAAGGGTGCTCGGGCGCACAAAAGAGTTTGAATGAGTTGAAGTGTTTTTGTTGATTTTGAAAGATGTCAAAGTATGATTAAATGAATTGAAGTTTGTTTAAAGAAAAGAAGTTTTAAAAGAAAAGGCACTCGACAAGGTCGAGGTTTATTATGAAAGCGGTTTGATTTTATAAACAAAGAAGATTTTGAAAGAAGATGATAAGGTTTTGAAAATTAAAGAAGATGGGAGGAGATGAAGAGACTATCCTAAAGCATAAGGTAAAAGCTAAGGAAGAGAACCGTCTAACCAACACGAAGCCGATACTTGACACTATGGGTCAAGATAGAATTCCCATTATTTGGAGTGAAACCAAGCAAGCAAAGATACTAGACCTCTTGAGAAGACCAAACTTCAAGTGTATTAAGTCTTCGGAAAAAAATTGGGCAGAGTAACAGCTGTATACGGGTGAATTCCAGATTACAAACAAAGTATGTAATCGCAATAACCTGCACACAAAACAAACAAACAACCCAATGTCTTGAGGTAAACCCCAAGAGCTCCAGAAAAAATATCAATTAAGGTCACAAGGTCTCCAACATAAGCCAAGGTTTCTAATCCTAAGTCCAAGAAGTCCATCACTCCAAAATGCAAAGGATAGTAACCAAATAGTCCAAGTATCATTAAAGTTTTTTATGGTTCATGTTGATTATTAGGTGTCTTTAAAAGGAAAAGAAAAGCTCAAGTGAGAAAAATAAAAATGACATAAAAGTAAATGCTCAAGTGAGCAAAATAAAAATTGCATGAAATGTAAATGCTTAAATTAAATGGTACATAAAGCATAAAAATAAAAGCATAAAGTAAAGTCAATTGTTAGAAATTAGTGGTTAGTTGGATGACCATCTTGAAACTTGCATTTGGAACTCATTAGAGGATTGGTAGAATCAAAGCCTCCACACAACAAGTTGCATTTACTTTTTGTCAAGTATATCATCCATTTTGGAATCTTCAAAAAGTAACATGTAATGATCAACGATGTTTAAGTGATCCGCATTGACCAAAGGTGTTGTAGATCCATTAGAGGATTGGTAGAACCAAAGCCTCCACATAATGAATCTCAAGGTTATTGGATCAAAGATATCAAATTAACATACTTGGGCTTGCAATCATAAGTTTGGACCACGAATGATCATTTATCTGAATCGGGACAAAATTTAACGCTATGTTAAGCAATCGTAAGTGGACTTATGTAGAAGTCGCACCTATTTTGAGGCCGGTCAATAGCAATCTATGTACTTCATGTTTGGATAAATGATATAGAGATCACCATCCCTTAACATGTAGCACAATTAAAAAAAGAAAGGGATAAGATGAAGAGGGAGGGGAATGATAAGTTAATTTGGATCACCATCTCAAAATTCTTTCATCTTTAAATTCAACCACTCCTCTAGATGGATTAAAGTACTAAATATATCATTAATCCAAAGCACCAAAAATGAATTAAATAATTCACTCTTAGGTAGATTTGAATTGATGAACATTTATCCAACTTCATCTACATCACAAAGTCCATTGAGTTTAATGACAAATTGGACATTTAAAATTGCAATCCAAACCAACAATCAAAAGGAGTGAGTAGAAAAACATTTTGGATCAAAGCTGCCCCAAAACAAGGCAAAAAAATGCATTCTGTCCCTGTGTAAATCGATTGCACTATTATGTAAATCGATTTACACAGTACAATTTTCAAAAATTTGTGCAAAATTGCTTCTGTGCAATCGATTGCACAGTTACTGCAATCGATTGCACACTGTTACAGGCAGCAAAACAGCATTTTAAAAGGCCAAATTCTTGTTCAAAATTTCCATCAAATACCTTATGATCATGGATCCAATTGAGCACGAAAATTCCATCAAATTATGAGAAAATAGTACCAATGGAATCACAAAACAATGCTCAATGAATCAATCCCAAAGATCACCAAGAGATCACATTGTGAAAGATGAATTATCTAACTTACCAAAGGTAGATCTAGAGAATTATCAACACAACTTCAAGAATTTTCTTCAATTCAACCACAAGAATCAATTGACCAAGCTTGGATGTAGAGAATTGATGAAGAAAAAGTGTTTGGATGAAGTTTTAGCTCAAATATTAGTAAGCTTCAATGCAAAGCTTACTAACTTTTTGAAAATGGAGCTTTGAGTGAATTTGGTAGATGGAGAGAATTGAGAGATTTTTTAGCATGGTGGATTTGACTATCAAAAGCTTGAAATTTGAATGAGATGAGGGCTCTATCGATTGCACACTGTTACAGGCAGCAAAACAACATTTTAAAAGGCCAAATTCTTGTTCAAACTTTCCATCAAATACCTTATGATCATGGATCCAATTGAGCACGAAAATTCCATCAAATTATGAGAAAATAGTACCAATGGAATCACAAAACAATGCTCAATGAATCAATCCCAAAGATCACCAAGAGATCACATTGTGAAAGATGAATTATCTAACTTACCAAAGGTAGATCTAGAGAATTATCAACACAACTTCAAGAATTTGCTTCAATTCAACCACAAGAATCAATTGACCAAGCTTGGATGTAGAGAATTAATGAAGAAAAAGTGTTTGGATGAAGTTTTAGCTCAAAGATTAGTAAGCTTCAATGCAAAGCTTACTAACTTTTTGAAAATGGAGCTTTGAGTGAATTTGGTAGATGGAGAGAATTGAGAGATTTTTTAGCATGGTGGATTTGGCTATCAAAAGCTTGAAATTTGAATGAGATGAGGGCTCTATTTATAGAGTTTAGGATTGGGATTAGTGGTAATTTGGTAATTGATTCTTGGAGTCAAAATTTGAATTAATGACAATTCTTTAAAAAATTAGAGGAAAATTGGAGCCAAAAATTTGACAAGCTTGAAATGCTGTTTTTTTCTTCAAATTTTCACATTGTGCAATCGATTGCACTACAGTGCAAATCGATTTTCACAGTGTATTTTTTCAAAAATTGCGCAAAATGCACTTTGTGCAATCGATTGCACTCTAGGAGCAATTGATTGTACAGTGAAAAAAATGAAAATTTTTTAATTCTTTTTCTTTGCAAATAGAGATTTTAGGGAAATAATACCGGAAAACCTTACTTGCCATATGCTTTGACTCGGTACCTACAAAACACAAATATGCAAAGACAAAGACAAATATTTTTTGTATTTTGATTAGAAGTTAGTCAACAACACAAGAGCAAACTTAAAGATGGGATGCAAATGTGATGAATGAAGCTATTTATTAATGATTGTGACAGAATGACAAAATATGGTATAAAAGTGCGATTGAAAAAGTTAGGGGCAAAATTTAGGGTACAACAACGGTTTATTCGTAAACAACTCAAATTATATTTTATGTTTGTCTTTGTAAATGAGATTATTGACTCTGTGAACCAAAGAAACCAATTTCTAAGCAAACGAGGAGGAGGAACCATAGACAGAAGCAAATTGACCCGAAAGGACAAACTTAATCCTTGTATGGATGATTCTTTGTGAGCAATAACTTATGTTTGCTTCTTCTTAGGAATCACATAAGGCACACAAGAGGAACTTAT